TCTTCACACAAAACACTTTTATTTATATCCAAAAATATACCCGTTAGAAGTAGGACACTCCTTACTGACGTCGTGGATTACGTGGGCACGCTCCTCTTTTTTGACTTAGTAGTTCGAGCATGTGGAGCAAAAGACCATTCTTCTTTACATTCAAAATTTGCATACTATAATCATTTTTGTTTTATTATTATTATTATGACAGGTGTCAAGCATGTGGCTTACAAAAGTTCATTTTTCTTTTCTATGAAAGGTGCCAAGCATGTGGCTTACAAAACTTTAAAAATATAAGTAATTTGTATAAACAACTTTTCAACAAATGAATAGTGTTTAATTTTTCCTTCAAGGCAACCACTAATCAAAAGTTGTATAGTGATTGCATAGTAATTTTTATATTAAAATAGTAGAATGTACATAAAATGTTTGCATGTATAATAAAATCTCTTTAAAAGATATTTATATCAGACATACAAATATATACCCCTTTTACAAGTTTTGTAATTGTTAAAGCAATTATAAATACATTCAAATAAAAATAACTAATCATCCCATATGAGTATAAAAAGAAACAATTCATCAATATTATATTTGTCAAAATAATGCAACAAATCAATCAATTTTGTCAAAATAATATAATTAATCAATTTTAAATTTGTCAAAAGGTGAATAGTGACCAACCAACCAATCAATCAATTTTGTCAAAAAGTGGATAGTGATATTTTCAAAATCTTTCCATTTAAATAATATTTATAACAAATATATTATACAACCTATATTTTAAACAGATAATATTTTGTATCAAATAATAGAGAATATGTATATTAAAAAATCTAAAATTTTCAAATAATAATTTTAGACATCATCAAAATTAAACAATATGATTTACATATTGTATTTGATGATTAAGAAATCTAACGAAGAAGATGATCAACACCACCACGCGATTGTTATCTGCAAGACAAAACACCCCCAACTGTAGCTGAGGGCCCCCAATGCCCAAGTCAGTTCTCCAATATTATTAAAATATTTAATGGGCTAATTCATAAACAGAAATTGTGTACCTTAACCCATGAACTGTTGCCTATTTATAATATCCAGTAACCTCACAAGTAGTTTAAATAATTCAGAAGTCATATCCCAAACAATCTTCAGTTGTTTAAGACTTCTATATCGATAAGATTTCATATCCTGATGAGTTTTACCTAACATAAAACACTAATATAGTATTTGATAAGAATATGACAGTGATTTCTACATCGATAAGATTTCATATCCTGATAAGTTTTACCTAACATTGAACACGAATGCAGTGTTTGATAAGAATTTGACAATTATCATACATGTGATAATCTATAACCATGACAAGTGGCAATGCCTATACCCATATAATTCTTGTGGTTATTTTTATTCATTCTCAGATTCTAAAATTTTGAATCTACAAATTAATTGCCTACCTTGCTTTTACATCACAATATCAGTAACAAATTGATTCGTTACCAAAAAAAATTAAGTTGTTCTCCTATTTTGGGAACACAAACATGCAAAATAACAATCATCAAACCATATTCCTCTTCTTCATGTGGCCATACAAGTCCTCCGCTTCCCCCTGCTATGATATACTGTTGTTGAGACGCATGTTACCAAGATACTAATGGTCAATTGATAGCTCCTTAAAAATTATAAAAGTATGTTGTACATAAATTAAATTTTGTACTTCATTTTTTCTTTAACTTCTAAACACAAAATAATAAATTTTCCATGCATTTATTAATGCAGCTCCATTATTATTAGGAGAATTTGGTGATAGACCTCTCGATGTCTAATTTGTCCTTCAAAATGATAAGAATTATATGGATCATTTCAAAACCCCTTAATATTTTAAAACTTGTTTCTTTTACTATATATGTGTATATATGTGTGTATATCAGATTGCAATCACTCTCTCTCGTCTCAATATCTCTTCTTTCTGTCTTGTTCTTATCATTGTTGTTCTCCACCGGTGCCACCGCTGCTCACCATGGAACTCTTTCTCTACCGTCTTCATTGCCACCGTCACTCGTCGCATCTACAACTTCATATTTGAGATTATTCACCGTCGTCGTCGTTGGAAAATGACTGTTCCCGACGGTTGATAATTTGAGATCTGAGATACTTCACTCTCTCTCTCTTTCTCTCTTTGCAGTTCTGATGGTTTATGCTCTCTTTCTCTATGTGTGTGTAAGCGCGTTACTCACAATTTCTCTCTCTCTCTCTCTCACTCTCCCCTCCCTCTTCTTCTTCTCATGATCCTCTATTTTCGAACTTTGTCTCCCTATTTCTCTTCCTTTTTCTCATGATGCTCTATTTATCGAACAGTAAAATTTTACTTTGGTTCATGATAACTGACTCTCCTATAAAGCCATCATCGTAGCTTATTTCAGAGTAAAATTTTATTTTGAATCGTAGTAAATTTTACTCTGATTCAGAGTAAAATTCTACTCTGTAATAAAAAAAAAGTAAAATTTTACTCTGATGATTCAAAATAAAATTTTATTGTCATTAAGTAGATCAATATGTTGTTAACTAGAGTAAAATTTTATTGTTACAAAAAATTAGATTACATAATAAATGAACGAATCAAAGTCAAATTTTAATTTTAGATCTATGAACAAACAAATAAAAAACTCTTAATTTTTCATTGCAATATCTCGATTTCTCATTTTTCTATAAAATCTAAGTTTTTTATTTTTATTTTTTATTTTTATTTTAATCTCAAATCTAAAGTTATCGATCTCAAATACGAGTTTGTAGGTATCAAATCTGATATGGTGGTGGTTTGATGGTACAAATGGTGGTTGCCGGGCAACAATGAGGATAAGCAATGCCGATAGACGATGAAGATGGTGAAGATGATGAACAACCATTGAGTTGGTGGAGAGAGAATGTGTGTTGTAAAAGAAAGAGATGGTATAATGGTCAAATAAAATATTCAAATAACAAATTTGGGTTTTTATATAAGATTTTATAATTATGAGAGGGTTTTGAAAGTGTTAAATTTTGTTTGCCCTTTTAACAAAAAAAGAAAACTAAGAGGGATTTTATGGCCAAATTTCCCTTATTAGTATTATTATTTTTGTGCCCAGTGGTAAGAAATTATAGTAGTAAAATTTAATCTTTTAATTAAAATAATGTCAAATTATTTTAAATAGGAATCATACCATGTATCAATTAACATACTTCAATTAAGCCTCCGTTTGGGAAGTGGGTTGGCTTTTTGGCTTTTTGGTTTTTTTGGCTATTTTAGCCTGGGCTAAAAAGCTTGGTTTGGGAAGGGCTTTTTGGCTTTTTGGCTTTTTTGACTTTTTTTGTGAGAGAAGAATGTAATGATTATAGGTTGGATGTGATGTTTTGTTTGTTATGGCTAAAATAGCCTATTTTGTTTTTTGTGGCTAAAATAACCAAAAAAGCCTAAAAAAGCCCTTGCCAAACACAGGCTAAGTAATGTAATCTGTTAATATTTGTCAAGGTTATACTGCATTTATTGTCATTATCATTTTTTATTTTTTAAAACATGCATTGCTCTGGAAAAACATTAAAAAAAAAAAAAAAAAAAAACACAAGACACAAGCAGTGGGTCCCGTCCACTGCCACATCATTAATGGTGCTTTGATAAAGTGTATATTTAGAAAAAAAAAATTAGGTAGGAATTTGGAAATTAAAAAAAAATGTGAGTGAAATTTGGATAAGAATTAGAAAAGAAAAAAGAAAAAATTGAGTGAAAATTGAGTAAAATTAAAATAAAAATGAAAAAAATAGTCAAATATGAATTAAAAAATTTTCATTCTTAAATTCAAAATTGAGTAAAATTAAAATAAAAAATGAAAAATATAGTCAAATATGAATTAAAAAATTTTCATTCTTAAATTCATATCAGAATAGATGTTCCAACAATTATTGGACTTTCAAAACAAATTTATATATTTATATTTATTTAAAAAATTTATAATTATCGTGTGAGTGAGGGGACTAGGGGGAGACACGGGTTCCGATGGGTGGACCCACAAGTAATAGGGGAATCATTTAGGCTGCTTTGGTAATATGCGAACAAAAAGAAATTTACATTTTGTTTGATTTAATTTTTAAAATGAGATTTGAATTTTGATTTGTACCTTAAAAGATAAATTTTTAAAATGAGATTTGTAAAAAAAAAAATTATTTGGTTATGAATTTTAAAAATATTTTAAGTTTTATTTTAGATTTATTTATTGTTAAATATTTTTAAAATTTCTTATTTTTATTTTTTTAGGGTAATATTTTTTATTGTAAATATTTTTTATTTTTTTAATATGCGTTGTATTTATTACACTTGTGTCTGTATTTTTTGAAATATTTAAAAATTTATTTTTTAATGTAAATATATAATTTTTATTTATTTATATTTTACATATTTAATTTTTTAATTTTTTTTCAATTTTAAATTTTTTTAGATCGGCAATATATATATGTAAATCATAATAAATTATTTGGCCAATACTTAAAAATAAAAAAATTATTTTCAAAAAAAATAAAATTTTGAAAAAAGTTTAGTTAAGAATTTTAAAAAGAATTCTTGATTTAGTTATGAATTTTAAATTTTTTTAATTCAAATCATAATTTGAAATTTGTGATTTATTTGGATTACACCTTTATTTTTATATATGTTTTTATAATAAATAAAAAAATAATTTATAAATCATACTCAAAAATAATTTTTATTTTTTTTATTTTTTTGTTGCAAATGCATTTGTGTAATGTGTCCTACTACCATCAATAATGTTACGTATCACTAAATTTTCACAATTAATACCACCATTAATAATGTGACAAATAAAAAAAAACAAAAGTAAAAACAAAAATTAAGACACAAAACACATGTGACAACGAATAGAACCCGCTATCACATCCTTAATACAACCACTAATTAGTGGTCTGCACCATTTTTCCTACTACCATTTGCTTCCCTTGCCTTTCTCTCCCCCACCCACAGCACACCCAAAAGAAAAACAAAAAACAACCCACGTCCACCACCACCAGTCTCTCTCTCACTCTCTCTCTCTCTCTCCGCACTTGCACATTCATATCCATCCGAACCTTTCGCCATCAATCTATCTTTCTACCCAACCCAACCCAACTCAACTTTCCTTTGTTCCCTTCCCGACACTACTGCCTCTCGCCGCCGGCCACCTCCATCACTTTATACCAAAAAAGAAAAGAAGAAGAAGTAGAATAAGAAGAAGATATCCACTAATTTTCTTTTCTGGCCAAGTACTAGTCTTTCTCTTCAAATAGTTTCTTCATCTAAAGTGTTGTCTTTCAATCTTGTCCTGCTGGAATTAGGAGAGATTTTTAGTTACTCAGATCAGAAGTTGTTAAGATTGGATATGTGGGTTGCTCTCAATTGGAATCACGGATGCGTTGGTGTACTTTTTCTGGACTTCTGGGGAAGAACTGAGGCTGATTAGTTGAATGAAGCTAAACCAAATCAAACCAAACCCAAACCAAACCTTTCTCAGTTTTGTTTTGGTGTTCTGTTTTGGTAATTTGAGCTCTGATCTGTAGAGTCCAGTTTAGATTAGCTGTTGTGGATTTGTATTTCTTTTGGGCTTGATCAATCAATGGAGAAGAGAGTTGGAGGCGAAGCTAATCTTTTGTATGGTCTGGGTTCTGCGGATTTGAGGGCGGTTGGGAAAAGGAGTCTGGAGTGGGATCCTAATGATTGGAGATGGGATGGTGATCTTTTCATTGCTAGCCCATTAAATTCCAATCATTCTTCTAATTACCAGAGCAGGCAACTGTTCCCACTTGTTTCTGGAATTCCCGCGGTTGGGGTTTCCTCCAACAGTTCATCATCATGCTCTGATGAGGTGGTGAATCCTGTGACTGTTCAAGCAAAAGGGGATTTGGAGAAGCGGAGGAGGGTAATTGTAGTCGAAGATGAGAATTTGGATGATGAGGCCAGGAACCTTACTTTAAAGATTGGTGGTGGCCATGCCTATCCTATGACTGAAACTGAAAGGGAGGCTGGGAATTGGGATGGGACAAGTGGGAATGGGAACAAGTCCAAGTTACCTGGTGCCCCAATTACAAATCGTGCTGTTTGTCAGGTAGAGGACTGTGGGATTGACCTGAGCAATGCCAAGGATTATCATAGACGACATAAGGTTTGCGAAATGCATTCCAAGGCCAGCAGGGCACTTGTTGGGAGTGTTCTGCAGCGGTTCTGCCAACAGTGCAGTAGGTCAGTGTTAATTTCTCAGTTGTTTTTAGTTGTTGGTATGATGGTATGTGTTTCGAATTTCGGCAATGATTGGTGGCCACAAATTTTGTGGCCAAATGGCCCGAAAATGTTAAAACGACGTCGTTTTGTATACAAATCGACTCTGAAAATGTCAAAACGACGTCGTTTTAACATTTTCGGGCCATTTGAGCCACGGAATTTGTGGCCACCAAACATTTTCCTTCGGATTTTTCCATCATCATCATCATCATCATCATCATCTCATACTACTTCTTGTATTACAATTTACTGCGCAACGCAACACCGTGGGAATATCATCAATCAGACCCCTACCCACATCCACTGTATTCCTCTATTTTTCATTCATTGAGATATGAAAGTTTCAAATTTGCCAGCAGAATTCTTATGGCCTTCCCAAAATTTTCCAATTTTTATGGTTTCTTGCCTTTTAGATTATCAATGTCAGAGCATTGATGGTTGATTGTTTTGTTTGCAAAAATTATGTAGTTAGTTGCCGTTTTCTTGCATTATCTGCAGGTTTCATGTACTGAAAGAATTTGATGACGGGAAGCGAAGCTGTCGGAGACGTTTAGCAGGCCATAATAGGAGGAGGAGGAAGACACAACCTGATGCTGTTGTTAATAGCAGTTCGTTCAACGATGACCAGGCTAGCAGTTATCTATTGATAAATCTACTAAGGATACTTTCCAACATGCATTGTAAGAAACTCGCCTTTTTTTTTCATCGTAATGACAGTCAAGGATTCTGTATGAGAATTCTTCTGCCAGATTATTCTCTTTAATGTCTTTTTGTATCCCAGGTAACTCTTGGAATTAATGATCAAGGAACTTGTCTTCTTCATTCTTTAGGTAATGGAATTGATAGAGAAATTCATAGAACTAGGTGGGATAGAAGAATTGATAAAGGGAGTAGAGATGATGTTAGAGATCATACTGAGAAACAGAAGAATTCTGTACACAACTCTTATTTGAATGAAGTGAAAAAAATGCAATCTTTGTTGTCTAATAGAACAAACACTAACATCTTAATTGAGTCTGTCAGGATCAAATCTGTTTATCAAAGTGCTTCAGCAAGCCCCCCTTTCGGAAGCTCAAACGTGAGAGAACACTTGCAGACATGCAGGCGTTTTGAGAGAGCACAAAACTCTAACTTGAGTAAGTGCCAACCTGAAGTGGTGGTTTAGCCAAAGGGAAAACGTGCAACCAAAAATGCTTGGGAGCATTAAAAAGGGAACACTAATGAGCTGGCTCCTCCATGATGTGATGGGTGTCTCTGTTGTTTTTTTTTCTACATTTCCAGCTCATTAGAGCTATTAGTGCTCTGTTTTTTAGAGCTCCCAATCAGCTCTGACGTGCAACGATTGGATTCAGCACGCTATTAGAATAGCTCTCATTTTATGGTGTAATGTCTTGTTAATTTGTCTTATGAATTGTGGATAATATGGTTCCTTAGTTCTCCTCTGTTCACAGTTGTAATGCTCTTTAGTCCTAGTGCTTACTGTGTTAGTGCTCCTGCGTTATATGTTTCTCCATATAATGCTTTCCTGGTTCAGTTAGTTTATAAGATATATGAAAGAATCAGGGAACATTTTCCAACATTGTGATGGCAAATAGGTCCATTCATCAAAGAAATGCGTGGTGAGATAGAATATGCTGTGAGATTGTTGTGCATGAAATGGGTGTCCATGCAGTTCGATTAAACTGAAAATCTGTCATTGCAACTGTTTAGTTGTTGAAGTGCTATATATTGACATGTTTTCATGGCTAGATAAAGCCTAACCAACTCATCGCAAAAAAAAAAAAAAAGGTTGATAGCTGTCTTGGTTGCCAGAAAGGGTTATTTTATTTTCTTATAAAAAAATCTCTTACGCTGTGTTTGGTTGAGACATTTGGGAAGGGATTGAGAAAGGGGAAGGAAAAAGGTAGGTAAACTGTGAATAAAATGTACATTTTACATAGTTTCACACTTCTTTTCCCTTTCCCTTTCCATTTCCAAATCTCTTAACCAAACACAGTATTAATGCTTCCAATATGCTTATCATGAAAGGTTGAGATTCTTTCTTCTTGTTATTGATTCGCTATGAAGCACGGACACCTCTCCAGGGCTTGCGTATCAGTGTCGAACACGTTGTGGACACGTGTCCGACAGTCTCCCAAAGGTGTCCTTTTTTTTTTGAATTTTTTTGCAGCCGGACACGTTTTGGACACGCTCGGATGTTTCGGACACTGCGGGGTACAAAACCTAATTTCTGAAACTTCCAAATGGGCCCAAACTGTAAAAAACAAAAACAGAAAATGAAGAGAGAAGAGAATTGAAGAAGGAGAAGAGAAGAACATAGAAGAGAGGACAGAGAGAGAAGCGAAAGAGGGTGAAGAAGAACCTGAACTGGTGAAGAACCAGTCGAAGAACAGATCGAGCTATGTGTCTTTCGCAGTTCGCAGTTCGCAGTTCATCTCTCTACCTATGTGTCTTTCGGCTCTCTCTCTCTCCCTCTCTCACTCTCTCGCTATTTCGCAACTCCTCACTTCTTCTTTCGGCTCTCTCTCTTTTCCCTCTGTTTTCTATGTTTCTGATCTGTGTTCATATATGTTAGAATAGGGAATAATATTTAATATTAGTTGTATTTTATTCTTATTTTACTTTCTTGATTGATGTAATGAGCTGACCCATAAATTATGTCTTATGGTACTGCTGTAATTACTTATTATTATCAATATAAAAGGCGATGAGGTCTAAATCAATCCCTATCTCTTTCTCTTCTCTAAACCTACATGGTATCAGAGCCATGCCCTAGCTCCCTAGCCCAGCCGTCACTACTGTTCGTATTTGCCTCCCCAACACCTGAAACAACCTTGTAACTCACCTAGACCAGTCGACAACCTCTGTACATCACCCCACCAGAGCTGACAGCCCTCTTACACCACTCCACCAGCACCGACAGTCCCACTACACCACAGCACCAGCACTGACAGCCTTTTTTCACCTCCTCACCAGCGTCGCTAGGTTTTTTTTTCTTCCCTTTCCCTCGACAGGCTTCTCCAGGCCCTGTCAAGGGTCTTCCTTTCGACACCCAGCCTCCTTGCTGGTTAGGTGCCATTCGGCTGCCTCTTTAAGGGTTGTCGGTGTTGCTGGGCATGGCGTAAGGGTTGTTCAGCATTGTCTCTTGGCCCTGTTCTCCTTACTTATGTATTACGTGTGGTTAAAAAAAAGAAAAGAAGAAAAAAAAAAAAAGAATAAAATTATGTTTTTTTAATTATTTCATATTCTTTGTGGTCATTGTGCTTGTATCCCTCTATCATCTTCCGGGTTTGTGATTAGTGTTTGTTTTTTGTTGTGGGTTGGGTAGTAGTGTCTCCATGGCAGATTCCACCAATGTGTCCACTACTTCTCAGACACCTAGGAGTGAGAGTTGCATTATACCTACTACTATGACTGATACTCCCAACCCTAGCCTTAAAATAACTACCTCTTTATTCAATGGTCAGAACTATCTAGCGTGGTTGCAGAGTTTGACTATTTTTCTGAAGAGCAGAGGGAAGATGGGGTATATCGATGGCAGGATACAGGCTCCCAGCACTGTGGACCCAAGTTATGATCAGTGGGAGGTCACCAACTCCCTCATCATGGGTTGGTTGATCCACTCTATGGTCCCTGAGATTGGAGAAGGCTACTTATCTATGGACACTGCCCAGGATATTTGGGAGGCTGTAACTACTATTAACTCCTAAAAGGGGAACTTCTCTCCGGGTTTTGAGTGTCGTCGCTCCATTGAAAGGTTGGTACAAGGTGAGATGGCTATCCTTCAGTATTTTACCTTCCTTAGCAATGGGTGGAAGTGACTTGATCACCTTCAAGATTACAAGCCTATCTGTCCCACTGATTCTGTTGGTTACTAGAAGTTTGTGGCACAAGAGCGGGTCTTCAAGTTTTTGGAAGGCTTAAATGTGGAGTATGATCCGGTTCGGAGCAGGGTACTTGGCATGGATGTGCTTCCTTCTCTCCAGGAAGCCTTTGCTTTTGTGCAGAATGAAGAGAGTCGCCGCTCTGCGATGCTTCCTTCTGCTACTACTGATCGCTCGGCCTTGGTTTCTGCACCTCCTCGCGATGGCGACCGTGTGACTCCTGGTTCTCGTCCTTCCTTTGAGAAGGATAATCTTTACTGTGATTATTGTCGTAGACCTCGCCACACACGAGAGACTTGTTGGAAGCTGCATGGCAACCCCTCTGGTGGCCGAGGAGACCGTCCTGGTATTCGAGGAGGTCGGTCTGGTCAGTCTAGAGGCCGAGGGGCCAATGCACGGGCACATCTTTCAAACATTGTTGAGCCATTATCTTCATCTCCGGTTGTCTCTCCTGCTGTTGATGTTTTAGGGCTATTTGCCTCGGATTTTGAGATTGCTCTTCGCCACTTGCTAGACCATTGAGCCTCCACTTCTGCTACAGGTGCATCCTCTTCTTCTTTTGCCAATTCAGGTAACTTGGCTTCCTCTCCATATGCATTGCTCTCTCATATGACTGTCCCATGGATTATTGATTCTGGTGCTTCCGACCATATGTCTAGCTCTTCTAATTTATTTTCATAGTATAACCCCTTCTCAGGTCAGGAAAAAGTGCGTATTGCAGATGGTACCATTTCGTCTGTGTCAGGGAAAGGTTTAATTCATGCCGCCTCTTCCCTTCCTTTGTCTTCTGTTCTCCATGTTTTCAATTTCAGTGTTAATCTTTTATCTTTGAGTTGTATTACTCGTGATTTAAATTGTAGCGTGACATTTTTTTCCGATCATTGTCTTTTTCAGGACCTTATTACGAGGAAGAGGATTGGCAGTGGTAGAGAGGAACATGGGCTCTACATTCTGGATCAGCCCGACAAGCTGGCTCATTCATCTATTCAGTTACCATCCACTAAGGAAGACATTTGGCTATGGCACCGTCGTTTAGGACATCCCTCTTTTTTATTACTTAAGCATTTATTTCTCTCTGTTTTTAAGCAAAATAATGTGTCCGATTTTCAAGGTGAGTCTTGTCAACTTGGCAAACAACACAGAGCCTCTTTTGCTCCTTCTATTAATAAAAGTTAAGTTCCGTTTTCTTTGATTCATTCTGATGTATGGGGTCCTTCTTGTTTTGTGTCTTTAACCGGTCACAAATGGTTTGTTACCTTTATAGATGATTGTTCCAGGGCCACTTGGGTCTATTTGATGAAAGATAAAAGTGAGGTTTTTTCTGTGTTTCAAAACTTCCATAAAATGGTTTGTACTCAGTTTGGAGCGGTTGTCAAAATTCTACGTTCTGATAATGGGGGGGAATATATTGACTCTAGTCTTGCCACGTACTTTTCCACTCATGGCATTATTCACCAGACTTCATGCAGTAATACCCCTCAACAAAACGGTGTTGTAGAACGCAAAAATTGCCATCTCCTTGATGTCGCCCGTTGTCTATCTTTTGAGATGAGGGTTCCTCGATCCTATTGGGGGGAAGTGGTTCTCACTGCCGCTTAGTTGATTTATTGTCTTCCTACCCAGGTTCTTCACAAACAAACACCTCTCCAAGTTTTGTTCGGGTCTATCTCTTCTGGGTTCTCTTTTTCTCCTAAGACCTTTGGCTGTGTTTGTTTTGTCCATAATCATTCACTCACGCGTGGTAAATTAGATCCTCGGTCTCTTAAGTGTGTTTTCTTGGGTTGTTTTGCCACCAA